AGAAACTTATTTGAATAACTATTATAGAAATAACCGTTCAAAAAAGGTTGTAAAATAATAGGTATTTTTAAAAATAATTTTAGTAGTGTTGGGGTATTGGGTCCAAGACCAAATACCCTCAGACGGCCTAACTAGCACACGAGCCCATTTTCCGCACGGGATCCGCCGGTCCGTAATATTCTGATACTTGGTGTTTTCTCGGATAGTGCTGGTTGTATGTCGGAGAGTTCCCCAAAGCAATCGGCAGAAAGACCAGAATTAGCAGGAAGGGCATTTAGTGCATTTAGTGCACTAGATATGGATGATTTTATGGTTGAGGGCTATCCAGTGATGTCTTGATACATCATCACACTACACCCTATTACATTGTAGTGTAAACACTCGCATTTATTTCATTGCAAATGCTTGACAAACTTGCGTACTATTAACTTAGAATGCTCTCTAGGTCTTCTGTAATAGCTCGGTGTAGAACAGGGGGTCGGGACTCAGGCTAGGTAAGTTCGTAATAGAGCTTGACCCACTTTACGTCTTTACCTCTAATCCTTTCTTGCTATTGCTTTTGCCTTCATATTACCTTAATTAATACACCAAACACAATGACCGGTAAAAGATCCCATGAAAGCTTAAAGGACTGTGTTGGGCCTTTGGACCGCTAGGACTTAACCTCTACAGGTAGTAAAGAATCAATATTGAAGACAATGAAACTCAATAATAGATATTTGTGTTTTGGACAACTCACAATTTGCATGTGTCACCTCACTTAACCTGCAGCCCGTGCAAGTTGACCCCCGAAACCGATGAGCTCATCGGGATAAAAAATGATAACTCTAACCCATCATGAAATGTGATGAAATGGGTTAGCTCTATCTGTGGTCTTTGACTCATTTTCATAGCTCTATACATAGTCTAATTAAATTCTCCTTTAAACAATGATTTACAAATTCACATACAATTCACTATCCAACGATTTTAAGAAAAAACTTTACCCAAATATTTTACCGTGTAGTGCACGGGCAAATATACTAGTACTTTAATATACGGAGTAGCAAACTTTGGCCCTACGATCTTGAATCCTCAACCAAATTTCGGTTACCTATTGTCATATTATCATTCCATCATTACTTTTGTACAAAATGTAATTCAATTTCAATCACAACACTAAAAAAGATTTTGAAGGCACACGTTAAAGGAATGAGTGAATATTTAAACTTGAAAATATCCACAATTCAAAATTGATACTACTGAACATGTTGTTGGATATATGTTGGGTAAGATCACAGTCTCGATCTTATGAGTAACTGGATCATGAGCCTGAGCATTTATACTCCATCTCATGAATTGATAAACCTCATAAATGTTAACTCTAAATTAAACCAAAAGCAATAATGCTAAACCTTGTGTATTTTAGGTTAATTAATGTTATTCCATTTTCAAAACTAAAAAATTGTACAAGCCCTAGTTAGTCAATGAAAAAAATCTAGTTGGTATTATCTTGGAAGAGTGCTAAATTCTAATTCTATGAAGATCAATCACTACCTCTATCTGAATTATACTCCAAATAAATTAAGACATTGGCTTTCTCAACTTTATGATTTTGGGGGCAATGAAAACAGAATCAACGTGAATGTATGGTTCATGTTATAGCTAATCTAACTCTACTTTAGTCAAACGGAAACACCACACAATCATCATGAGAAACAGCACGCTACTAATTAAAGTGTACTTAGATGATTGCCATCTCAACTGAATTGCTTTTATAACAATATACTCCGTATATAATAATCTGATTCTGAAGATTAATGCAACACATGAAAGTCTGTTACGTTGTTTACTTTTGACAAATGGTCTATGATGCGATTTCACTTTTAATTACATTATTGGAAAATTTTATCTGATTTTGATATAGATAATTTTGAAAAATGAAAAAGGGAAAAACAAAAAATCCAAATGGACTGTCATGTCTGTGCATTTGACCTTCAACCGGATGCCAACCGGTTAAATGACCTATTTGAGTGTTTTTTTAATAGTTGGTGGACTTAATTGATTAAGAGATAAGTACGAGGACTTAATTGACTTTTTGACAATAGTAGTAGGACCTATTTGACAGTTTTCTCTTTAATCTTTATAAAATATCTGCGTATGCTTAATATTTCAATGACAAAATATGCACCACAATATAAATTTTGGATGGAAGCTGTAGGGGTCTCCAAATTACAATTATTAGACACATGTTAGGTTAAAACAATTGAATCCGGCCTTTTGTCCCTAAATTACAAGTTGTGGTATTTACTCTCTTAAAAGCTATCCGTAGTCCGTATTACAAAATGTCCTTTCCGATATTACAAGTTTAGATATATCATATATGGTGATGTAAAAACAGAAATGACTCTAAATAGGAGTAAAAACAATTTGAAATTCCAAAATAAGAGTATCATGTTTTTTATTTTTTGAATAGGAGTAATCTGTCAAGTTTGGAAAAAAAATGTCATGTTTAAAACCTTGTAATGCCAAACTTGGTTGAATAGGAGTCTATTCAGTGAATAAAAAACAGGATACTCTTATTTTGAAATTTTAAAACGTTTTTACTCTTACTTAGAGAATTCTCTCAGGTAAAAATAACCAATTTATTCTAAAATGTGTTTAAAGTATTCCATAACAATATTCTAATTAGTTTATGTAGACAAATTACGTTAATGTTTTGACAATACCACAGAATCTGTCTATTTGAAAACTTATTCTTGAACTCCCCCGAAAAGAGTTTTTATTTGAACAAAGAAATGCAATTTTATTATATCTAATATTCTAATGTTCTTTCAAAAAATGTTTTTTTATTATACTCCGTGACGTGCACTTTGTCACGGTGCGTCAAAATAATAAATTCAATACTCACACTTATACGTAGTATAGCGTAGTAGAGTTCGTATCCACAGTGAAAGGAATACTTATCTTTTTTAAATGAAACTAATAAATAAAGGGGGGGTTTTGATTGAGTGGTTTAATTTAATTAAACACGAAGATGAACGACTTATATGAGAGTTAATTCAAGAATAAAAGTGACTTGGCCTTGCTACTTTCCACTTGTTGATATATTTTAGTCGATCATTGTTATATCTATAACTTATCCCCTCTCGAATACTCAATCGAGGAGTATCTCCAATTCATCGAGGGTAGTTATTAACAACGACCGTTCATTAATAGCCCTTACTATTAATCAAATATAAAACAACGCCGTATACCGATATAATAGTAGCATTTAATCACTTTGATGAAATCAATTGAGATTGATAACCTCAACACAACGGTTTCGGTTTAACCAACAAAATTAATCTCTCTTAAGTTTATAAACCACGACCGTGCATTAATAAACCGAAGTTACTTACTTGTGAAACCATCAACGATTAACCATCGGTTCATTGATCGTTTCTAGTAGTAATTAATGTCGGAACGTTAACTAATCGTCACTTAGCAACCCTCCAACATTAATATAGAATGAGATTAAGGGAAGAATTAATAATCAAGAGAAGAAGTTAAGAAAATAACTCACAACTGTAATAATCAACAAGCTTCAAGAGCAAAACCAAGAAATGAGAGTTTAGCTCCTCATTTGGAGACTAAACATGCTAGAAAAATATAAAGAAATGCTATTCTAAATTGAGCTTATAAGTGTAAAGTAATTGGTCTCTAATTGTGAAGGAAAGGGGGTGTATTTATAGGCTTTTGGATCAGCAGCTCGTGTACCCGATCGAGTACACATAGGGTACCCGATCGGGTATTTGCAGAATGTTGAATTCGAGCTTTACTCGATCGATTCCAAGGTAGAAATAAAAGGCATACCTGATCGGGTGTGTCGGTGTACCCGATCGGGTATGACAACTGATCGTGGCCAAATCTTCCCCTACACGTCCCTTTGTTTCCTGATTGATCTGATTGAAAATCAAGTTGGTACCCGATCGAGTACATGGTATACTCGACCGGGTACAAGTAAAAAATCAGGAATTTGCCTTCTTTTTGTCTTGTACTCTTGCACCTTCCTTCACCAATGATCATTTGATTGATTTTAGACCTGTTTAAACTCAGAATGAACCTAATCTAAATGAATTACAACTAAATTACAAATATAACTATTACACCAAAAGTGTGTAATTTCCGAAAAATCAAACAACCAAAACTAGTTAAAAACATAAACATACACATGGAAATTACACGTGTATCACTCCGTAACAGTTACATTAAATTTAGTTAAACAAATAAATATATTTGAAATTGAAAATATATCTATAGCAGATGATTTTCAATAGTCACACCATCTTAGAGGCCGTTGGGTAACACTATTTTTCGGCTTATCAACCAACTTTTTCACCAAACACGTAAATTTGGTTTTCGCGCGCTGAATTGTGTAATAATAAGAAAAAGTAAGTTTGAAGTTACTTTTCTGGCTGTATTGGCTGAAGTTACTGTAGATGACCATTTTAGCTATTTTTACATATAATTTTTTCATTATTTTATTAATAAAATATATTTTAAAAATTATTTTTTCTTAAATCAGCATATTCAGCCAATGCAGTCATTTAGCCAGAACTTCATAAATTTCAGCAGAATCAGACGAATCAGCCGATTTTCGCGTAACCAAACCGCCTCTTAAACTTAAAAAAACTAGTAAAATATGTGTTCTTATTTTAAGAAATTGCAAGGTTGAATTTCAGAACACATCTATTATCTAGCGACAGACTAAATAAGGTCAATTATACATGTATAGTACAAGGACAAAATCACAAAGATACCTAAAACTGTAGTTTAGGAACGAAATGGCGAATTTGGTATACTTCAATTACTATTTGAGGATTCTACCGATAAATAATGTAGGCATATCGATCCAATTAACTTTATTCAAAATCTGGGGACCAAATCACTAAATAAAGATTCTTGGAGGACCAAACGTGCACTTGTACCTAAATTATAAAAGTTCAACGTTATTTTGAAAAAGGACAGTCAGTAGTCAAGAAAGTTCGAAGCCGTTTTGGAGTAAAGGATTTCGGGTAGGCCGGGCAGAGCCCCGTTCGGGCAGCTTCTTAAGGCAAAACTGCGCATCACCGCCCACGCCCGAAAAGGGGAAAAGAAACACAGTGGGAGGGAGGGAAGTGCTCAACACATCAAAAGAAAACATTTTTCTCACCCACACCCTCTCCGGGCAAGCAACTGATGACAGAGAAATAAAGACGACGGGAAAGTGAGAGAGAAAGGGACTTGACGTTGTAGTGTAATTTAGGGGTAGGTCACTGAAGAAGAGGAAGCCTTTAAGCTCAAAAGGAGCTGAAAAGGGCAAGCAAAAAAGGGGAAAGAATGGAATAGTTAATCTTTGTTGTGGTGATGAGATCGGGTGGTCTTTTAGAGTATAGGGTTTTGTGGGGGGTTTGGGTAAATGAGTGTGCCTTTCATTGGATCTAAAAAGGGCATTTGCTTATTTTGTTGTGGTAGTAGCAGCAGTAGTTTGAGTGTAGATATATAGAGACAGATGATTCTTTATGTATATGTGATTATGAAAGGGGTGCTGAGAGAGGTCTTGGTTCTACTGGCAGTGTTGCTGATCATTCTTCATCCATTGACGCTCATTACTGCTAACTTGGAAGGTGTTTATTTGGTTGATAGCCTGTCTTTATTGCAATTATTGTTGTTCTTCTTTCAATTGTCTTTCCTGTTTTATGCTTGTGAGTTTATTTCTGAAGTGGGTATCCCATATTTGAGGTATTTGTCTTAAAAATTAAATCTTGGACCTGTAAAGTGAAATGAGAATTGCGTAAATTCAACTTTTGAAGCTGTTTGATGAGTTTGTGTGAACAATTAACCCTACCCTGGGGTGTATTATATCCTTTCTTGTTAGTTGCTAGACATAATCAAGAACATAAATGAACTTCACTCTCCATATTTTCTATGATGAATGTTTCTCAATGCCTCTTGCATCTATTTATGTAATGTGCGCTTACCATGAGAATGATCATAAGTGCATTAATTAACACCATACTATTGTGTGTTGTATGAGTAGGTGATGCTTTGCACAGCCTAAGGACCAGCTTACAAGATCCTAACAATGTTTTGCAGAGTTGGGACCCTACCCTTGTCAATCCTTGTACATGGTTCCATGTTACTTGCAACAGTGCTAACAGTGTTATAAGAGTGTGAGAATTATGCTCTCTCTTGCCATTCAATTTTAAGCATGCAAAGTTGAATAATAAATGAGCACATTAACTTTTAAAATTTTTGAAGCCGTCTTAAATCTTACATATAATTATTTACAGTGATTTGGGAAATGCCGGCCTATCAGGCCAATTAGTCTCTCAACTTGGCTTGCTGAAGAATTTGCAGTATTTGTACGTCTAAGTTCCTTTAACCTACCTTTTTTGCACTATTGCCCCCCCCCCCCCTCCCCGACAAGGTTCACGTGCATTTAACATTTCCATTTTGACGCTGTATAATTCTACTCAAGCTACTTATAAATAAACAGATATGAGTAAATAAGAGTGTAAACTAGTACTTGAACCAAGAAACTTTGTTTCTTATGAAATAAATCAATTATGTTTTTGCAGAGAGCTTTACAGCAATAAGATAACTGGCGTAATTCCCAGTGATCTTGGAAATCTGACAAATCTGAAGAGCTTGGATCTCTACTTGAACAACTTCACTGGACCTATACCAGATTCCTTAGGCAAGCTGTCGAACCTTCGCTTCCTGTATGTAGAGATTCATCCTTTCCAAAAAGTCGTTTTTATGCTCTTATGTTTTATTTCTTTTTCTGCCTTTCTAATGGCATCATTTATGAACTGTAAAGAACATTCACAGCGGTTGAAGGGAGCCTACTTGATTAGAATATATCTCTACTATATTCTTAGGAAATAAATATCAACGTGGTTCAACTTAATGCAGTGGTTGCGCTAATTACTGGATTTAGCTTTGGGGCTGAAGTTTGTTTTGGAAACTTATGCGTTCCATAGAAAATATCTAGGGTAAGAAAACATGAAAGAATCAAAATTTGTGGGAAATAAGAAATAGACTTAATTTCAACAGATTTAATTCTAAATATTTGTTGAAACCTATGTTGCATGGAAACGTGAAAATCATGAGGAAACGGAAACGTCATCTTTTACTCGAAAAACAACTGTTTAGAGAGTTTCCAAAAAGTTTTCGTAGAGTTTCCGAAACAGAAGCGTACTCTTTCCCGAGAGTTTCCGTGCTACATAGGTTGAAACTCATAAAATTCACTTTTCTTCTATTATATAGTGTTTTAGACACCTAACTATATGTCATTTTTAGAAAACATTAACCACATTCTATTTTCCTTTTGTATTTTTCAAGGTAAAGCCAAGAAAAAGAAATCAACTTTGCTTATCAAAATCCCCCCTCTTCATAACGTTTCCCATGATCCAAGTGTACCCTTATATTGTCATCTTGAAGTCTTATTCAGTTTTTCTTTTTAATCATTTTGTACATTGACAGGCGGCTCAACAACAACAGCCTAACTGGTTCCATACCGATGTCACTAACTAATATCTCAGCTCTCCAAGTCTTGTGAGTATATTTGTGTGCTCTGCTTAACCTATGTTTCCATCCCAAGCACTTAAGTTCTCACACACAGCATGGTTGTATTTTCAGGGACCTGTCAAACAACCGTCTTTCTGGTCACGTTCCAGATAATGGTTCTTTTTCTCTATTCACACCCATTAGGTATCTTACTAATTGTTCTAGCTGACATTTCTTTGAGTGTGCTTTCGTAACTTATATATGCATAATCTATGAATATGTACAGTTTTGCCAATAATTTGGATCTTTGTGGGCCGGTTACTGGACATCCTTGCCCTGGATCTCCTCCATTTTCTCCACCTCCACCATTTATTCCATTACCTCCAATTTCTTCTCCAGGTAATTGTGCTAATTGTTGTTGGCAGTGTAAATTATTATTTATGTTTGCATGGTTTTGTATTATTTGTTGAAAATGTATAGAACCGACCCATTTTAAGCTCTATGTGCTGTATGAAACCTAAGGTGGAAATGGATTAACTGGAGCAATAGCTGGAGCAGTAGCTGCAGGAGCTGCTTTACTCTTTGCTGTCCCTGCCCTTGCTTTTGCATGGTGGCGTCGCAGAAAGCCACATGAGTTTTTCTTCGACGTTCCGGGTTAGTTAGTACTTGAACACGTATAATTACTTCTCTTGTTTTGAAGTTGTGAAACCATTTGAGTGTAAAAGCTTAAGCTGAAAATCGGTTCCAATTCTTGTAGGAAAGGTTGTGGTGTGTAATTGTTTCTTTAATTTCTAAATAAATCTCCAACATACACTATCACCTTCTTAACGACTTAATCACGTGCCAGAAGCAAACATGAATTTTATTTTTGTAAAAAGGGATTAATTTGTAATTAATATTCTTCAATGTGCCCCCTTCATTCAAAATTGGAGTTTCCAACTGAGAATCTTAGACTGCTTCATTACCATGTTACAATTAAGGAATTTTCTAATCTAAAAGAAAAAGCTTAAGCTGGTAGATCTGATCCCATTCATGTTGTCTGAATGTCATTTTTCAACAAATTTTATGGCTCCCAATACTTTCCTGCTCGTCATTACAAGGTCGAAAGAAAACTTTCCACATGTAAACATTCCATTTTTGTTTGACTTTGGCAGCGGAAGAAGACCCTGAAGTTCACTTGGGACAGCTCAAGAGGTTTTCTCTGAGAGAGCTACAAGTTGCAACCGATAGCTTTAGCAACAAGAACATTCTCGGCAGAGGTGGGTTTGGTAAGGTATACAAGGGACGGCTTGCAGATGGTTCGTTGGTTGCTGTAAAACGGTTAAAAGAAGAGCGTACTCCTGGTGGTGAGCTTCAATTCCAAACAGAAGTTGAGATGATTAGCATGGCAGTTCACAGAAATCTCCTTCGTTTGCGTGGCTTTTGTATGACACCCACTGAACGCCTTCTTGTTTACCCTTATATGGCCAATGGAAGTGTTGCCTCGTGTTTGAGAGGTATAATGCGCCCGCTGACTTTATTCTCTTTTTTAGGTTTTCCTTTAGTTACTTGATTCTCATTCTATATAAAAAAATGCCAGGCTAATTTTTTTAGTGCAAGGTGCATTGCTCTCTTGTGCACTTTAGTTTAAGGCTGACCTTTCAGGTTGAGCATGTTTGTTTCTTCTCTCTGGTTTTTGGTTTGGTTTTGTTAAACAGATTAATGATTGTTGAATTAAAACCAAACTCAGCACATGTTCTCTTTTCGAAAAACATGATCAAATGAAAAGTGTGATCTGATCTGCATATATATATGATCTAGTCTTTTCAGTCTTTTTGGTGTGGTACTCTGGTTGGAACCTTTTGTTCTGCTCTCTGATCATTTCGGGTAAAATATGATCTGAATGTTTACGGTCTTGCCTAATTTAACTGCTTAAAATGTCATATATAAGATCACTTTTTGTTCTAGTCTGGGATGGTTTTGTCGGGTTCGATTACCATAATAATATTACCTCCGTCCCGGTGGACTTTGCCAAGTGCAAAGTAGGTGAGAAATAAGAATAGTAAAAACTGTGTGGTTGAGATTTGTATAGAGGAGAGAGAAATGTGTAGAACCACAAATTAGTTACTTTAATAGGAAAGTGGCAAAGTTTTTTGGGATAACCAAATAGGGAAAGTTGGCAAAGTCTAATGGGACGGAGGGAGTACGTAAGTTGAAGAATTAGCACCTTAGTTTTGGTTCGGGTTGGATTTCTTTTTTCCCTTGTTTTTTGGGGTTTGATATTGTTATTTTTATTTGGTTTGGTTTCAATTGATTTCGGTTTGGTTCAGATGTATGAAGTTTGGGGGAAACACTTATATAAAATCAAATTTAGGGTTTGGTTTTTGTTCGAGTTAATTGGTTTGGTCAAACCAAACCGAAGTACCACCCCTAAGTTAGGGAGGACAAATTGACTGTTAAATCACATGCTTATCATTCACTTATCGGAGTTTGTCATTGATTCTGGTAGAACGACCACCGGATGAACTGCCACTCGATTGGGCTACAAGGAAGCGCATTGCCTTGGGATCTGCAAGGGGATTGTCATATTTACATGACCATTGTGATCCAAAGATAATCCATCGTGATGTAAAAGCTGCAAACATACTATTGGATGAAGAGTTTGAGGCAGTTGTAGGAGACTTTGGGTTGGCCAAACTTATGGATTATAAGGATACTCATGTTACAACAGCTGTGCGTGGCACAATTGGACATATAGCACCAGAGTACCTATCCACTGGGAAGTCTTCAGAAAAAACCGATGTGTTTGGGTATGGCATCATGCTTCTAGAGCTTATCACTGGACAAAGAGCCTTTGATCTTGCTCGTCTAGCTAATGATGATGATGTCATGTTGCTTGACTGGGTATGCACGCCTTCTTTTAAACATCTATTTATGTGCATCATCTGATCATCATTAACACCTTATTATATATCTACGGAACATGACTGATCTTATATCCATTTCAATATCTTGTTATAGATTTGCTAGTCTATGATTATGTGCTATGCAATGAACATCTAGTTGTAGTTTGGCAGACCTGAATAATGTGTAACGTTATGAAGAGCCTGCTTGGTTAAGACCTCCAATGGTTACAGTTGATGAATATGCTATATTTGTTCAAGTTGTAGCTGAATATGCTATTTCAAGTGTTCTTTGTATTTCTTAAATAAAATATAGAAATTATATCTAAAATGAAGGTGTAAGTGTCATTTTCTTTAATTTCAACCATTTCAGTAAAGAAAAGTAACACCTACACTACATTCCCCCCATTATAAGCCGTTTCAGCCATCATAGAGCAATATTTAATGTTCGATGAATAATATGGCACGTCAACTGGTAGAAACTAGAAAGTTCACCAAACGAGCTTCAGATCTGTTTTTAGGTGTAGTTTGGTAAGTAATGAAATGAAATTGTAATCAAATTCATGTTATAACGGCCTACCGAAGTACACGTAATGGTTTAAATTTGCACTGCACATGCATTTGATCCCATTACATTACTTCATGACAAACTATGTCTTAACTGACAAGATAAAGGGGTAATTTATGGATAACGACTATTCCAGTCATTCCTTGTACACCTGCATCATACATGTCAGTTACAGTTTCATGGTGCGTGTAATGATGATTTATTAAATATCCCTTCATCTTTCTGTCCAGGTGAAAGGACTGCTCAAGGAGAAGAAACTGGAAATGCTTGTTGATCCTGATCTGGCATATAATTATGTAGAAGGAGAGGTGGAGCAGCTAATCCAGGTCGCATTGCTATGCACGCAGAGCAGCCCAATGGAGCGGCCCAAGATGTCAGACGTGGTGAGGATGTTGGAAGGTGATGGGTTGGCCGAGAGGTGGGACGAGTGGCAGAAGGTGGAGGTTCTTCGGCAGGAGGTTGAACTAGCAACACCTCCTCACTCCACTTCTGATTGGATTGTAGACTCTACTGAAAATTTACATGCCGTTGAACTGTCTGGTCCTAGGTGACCTCCAACTCTCCAAGGCTCCTATCAGCATGGGATTTCTTTCTTAGAACCTTGTTATTTTTCGTTTAGGGGTTAAAGAATGGGCAATTAGAAAGTTCCTTTTCTTGTAAGCACTTTCTCTTCAAAGTGTATTCTTTGTGTGTGCATCAGTGTAACAGCTATGTGCTAATATGCGTATGGGTGTGTAGTACACTAGTACAGAGTTGCACTATTTTATAAGCTTAATACACAAAAGAAATCTAATGTTTGAAACTTGAAAGTGGTGACAAAACTAGGTCATTATATATGTATATGTAAGTCTTGAGTCTGGTTCAAATAAAAAGTGATTCTTAAGTGAAAAATAAGAACTAATTTTAACCATTGATGTGAAAAAATTGATAGAAGAGATGAAACGTGGTGACATTTTGGATAAGAACTTATTCTAATTTATTATAAAGAATGTATTATTGATTAATTGTTTTGATTGATGAGTATAAAATGTGTAGGCCCTACAAAAGTTTCTGAAAGAGTAGAGGGCAAATAAAATACTACGTACTAATCCATTCTAAAAAGTGTCTTAAAAAGTACTGCCTCCTTGGAATGTTCCCACTTTTCTTTTTTGGATGTCTCAATGGAAAGTTCTCATTTCCCTAAATGGAAAGTTATTCTACATCAAAACAGTGTCAAACAGTGTCAAACAGTGTCCAAACAGTAAAATTTACCCCTTGGTAAGTTTATTTCCTTAATATGTGTGTAGGTCAAACCGGGAACATTCCAACGGGACGGAGGTAGTACGTTAGTATAAGGGTATGTTTGGCTTAGGCCTGGACTCGGTCCGGTTCGGGCCTCGAACCGGTCGGGCCTCGGTTTGCAGAAGTTGGCCCGGGCCCGGCCCGCTAATAGACGGGTGCCGGTTCGGGCCAGGTGACTCGGCCGGGTCCCGGGCCGGGTGAACGCCAAGTTGGGTCGGGCCTGTATAATTTTTTTTAAGTTAAAATATACATCTTTTTGGATATTAAAAAACAATCACAAGTGCATTTATGTGAAATAGGAATTACATTTGAGAATTGAGAACAATTAATTCTAATACATTTTGTAATAAGTAATAATAATATAATATAATTAATTGTAAGTTTCTAACTTTCTAAGTTGTAAGTTGTAACTTGATTAATTTGAGAAATGCGACATATAAAAAATATAATGTATATTGATTTGAAATATGAACTACAAATCTACAAGTTGACAAATTACAATAGAGAATTGAGGATAAAATAATAAATTGTAAAATACTAATCAATCGAAATCTCCGGCATAGGTAGAACCACCATCGGTTGATTCATCCATAAAGTCTTGGGAGGGGGGTGATGCTAACTTCTTGAGTTTTACATCTTGCCTTCAACCAATCGTGGTAGCATATAAGCGTCTCAAGAGATTCGGCACTCAAACACGTTCTCGATTTAGTTAGGACGTTGCCGGCCGAACTAAATTCTTGTTCCACGGCAACTGTTGAAACCGTCATTGATAGTACTTGCTTAGCCATCCGTGCTAAAATCGGGAACATTCTTTCTTTTTACTTCCACCACTTTAGGACGTCAAATTCTTCATTTTCTACAAACTCAACCTCATAGTTAGTATACAAAGCAATCTCATTAATTGTGCTTTGTTCAGTAGTGTGAGTTGTTTTAGTTTTTTTCATAAGATTGCCAAATGCAGATTTAAAAAGTGATTTTCCTTTAGATGAAGATGTTTGGGTCAAGGGAGGGGGCGCGTTGCCATATTGTGCACGAAACTCATTAAATAAAGAATAGAATAAACTACTAACCTCGTTGTATTCAGATTGCGGATCTATAGGGTTATCTTCATACATTGGAAAATCACCATAAAAAGATTGATAATAGAACTTGTAACATTGTTCCAAATTACCAAGTCAAAAACGAGGATCGAGAATAAATGCAATACCATAAATATGCGGAATATGTGGATAATATTTTAAAAACTTTTCCTTCATAAAACCACAAAAATAGCTCACATAATCGGCATTTGCAAATTCATTAAAAGCACCGGCGAGATTAACAAGTTCACGAATAAATTCGTTTGAAGTAGGTTTATAAACATGACTAAAACTTTCAGTTGCATTATTAAAATATATCAAAACATTACAAATTTTTTCGCAAGTGTCGATGTGAGCGGAGTTTAAAATGTAGTTATCATATTCTTTTAAAAAGTAGGAAAATGTTCTTTATATCTAATTAGAACTCTAATTAATTTTTAGGAACTATTCCACCGAATAGACAAATCTTTAGGAAAAGCAACATATTTCACATTTCTTTCTTTTTTTTTTTTTTTTTTTTTTTTTTTGAACATAGAGTTTTATTCATGAATATTAAATTACAATTGTTCTCCTATAAAAGAGAAACTGCTGTAATTAAAGGAAAGGCTAAATATCCGAACTAAGGTAGAGTCTAAAATAAGGTAGATTGGGCCCAATTGTTCTCTCTGTTTTGTAGAATCCAAAACAAAGGTGGCCCAGTCTTAGGTATAAGCAAAGCCTTCCAAGGAATCAAAAGGAATGTTGTCGTTCTGTAGGGTGCGCACCATAACCAAAACAATGGGAGAGAGGCTGCATAAAATCTTCCCCCGAGATTTCACATTTCTTTCATTCAAATAATTTTTCCATTTTAATTTAAGTTGACCATTAGCCCAAATACGTCTAATCCCCCCCCTCTCGCTACCTCCATAGCATCTCCCAACGCTTCTAGACCATCCTGCACACATAAATTTATTATATGGCATGCACATCGTTGATGAAAAAAATCTACCTATCAAAGTAGTAGAACCACACAATTCACGCAATCTAGGTATAGCAGCAGTATACCAGTATTATTAGTAGCATTATCAAAACCTATAGCAAACACCTTATTAACCAAATTATACTCAATGAAAATACACTCAATCAAAATATAAATATGTTCAGCGGTGTGACGATCATTAAATTCACGAAAAGCAAGAACACGTTTATGCATATTCCAATCATCATCAACATAATCTGCAATCAAACCCAAATAATGTAAATTATGAAAGGTGTCCTCCTATATGTCAGAACAAACAGTAACACGCCCATCAAAGTTTGCAATTTTTTTTGTAAGTTTGCCTTTTCCGCCTTATAAAGCCTTATAATTTCTTTCTTAACCGTTTTTCAACTATAACTTCGAAATTGAGGATTTAAACAAGTTTGTGCATACTCTTTAAAAGAAACACTTTCAGAAAACAAATAAGGTAAATTTTCTTCAACCATAAAGTTAGCCATACCAGTCAAATTTTGTTGATCATTGTATGAGAAATTACCATAAGGTTGGTTATTTGCAAACCTCGATATTTGTGTTTGCTTCCCCTTGCCTTTCTCAATTTTTGCGTACTCCACCTTGTGCTTGCCCATAAGATGCCTTTTGAGGCTCCCGTATCCGCCCGAAGTTCCCAAGATATACACCTTATCGCAATGGTTGCAACTTGCGTACCATTTCTCGGTGCTTGGGTCTTTATACTTTTTAAAATTATTTTCTATAATAGGAAATTTAGATTTCGTACCTATTTGGGATGAACCACCCTCGTCCTCCGCCTCTTGCTCCTCATCCGGGGTGCCGTGACTCCCAGCGCCCCCCGCGTCCTCCTCCGGATCGTCATCCTCGAGCTCTTCTTCGTCAATGGTGTGAATCTCGTCCGGGATGTCTCGTTGATGGAAAAATCGCCCATCATTTTGAGCCAATAGTTGTTGTAGTTGCTCGTCAGACATCGCATCGCCATCTCGCCGTTGGTATTCCGGTTCAAAATCTTGTCGACTTTAAGAAGAAGACCCGGACTGCCCGGTATTTTTGCGCAAACTAGGATGAGTTCTCGCAATCTCCTTCTTTCGGTTGCGTTGGAGATTTCCCATATCTACAGAATGTCTACCACAATCCATCTTAACAAATATAAAAGTATATCAAATATTTTAATATGAGTACAACAGTAATAATAAAATGCAACAATTATCTAGTTGTACACTATAATTAAAATGTAACAATTAACTAGTTGTACACTTTAATGAAAAATGCAATAATTAACTAGTTTTATACTTTAATTAAAATGTAACAATTAAATACTTGTAATAGCGAAATGACAAATGCAACAATTAACTACTTTTATACTTTAATTAAAATGTAACAATATTCTATTAACTACTCGTAGGTAATAGAATTGTATAAGTGTATAACTAATATATAATATAATGTTTATAGTATATAATGTATAAGTGTATTACTATAAGATGACTAATACAATTAACTAATAAAGTAATGTTAATACAATATTAAACAAATATACTTCGAATAAAAAAAGTATAATATATATAAGTATAATATTATATATATATTATAATTTTTTTATTCGAAGTATACTTATATAATATATATAAGTATAATATATATAACCAAGCATTCCAGCCCATATATCTGGTTGCGAGGTTACCGTGCCTAGTGAGAGGTCTCGTGTTTGAATCCCGCTAGGCACATAAGGGCTTGAAACTCAATTGAGTGAGTGTCAGCCCTGATTACAGCCCTGATTACTCCAGGCTCCCCTAACCCCCCTCCCCCAGAACCCCCCTGGAGTAATATATATATATATATAGTAATTCGAATATAGTATAATATACTTCGAAATTCGAATATATAATACTACTATATATAGTAATTCGAATATATATATATATATATATATATATATATTATAATGTTTTATATATATATAAGTATATTTTATATATAATGTTTAAAGTATAAAATATATAAGTATACTACTATAAGATGAGTAATACACTTATATTGAATACTTTAATATATAAAGTGTATATTAAGTAGATACAAATTGTAATATAGGTAATATAAGTAGATAATAGGTAGAGATTAAGTAGATAAGGAATATAAGTAATATATTATAAGTGTATGTAATTTTAATATAATATATGTATCAATGTATGTAAACTTGTAAAGTAGATAATTATATATCAAACTAAATATTAAGAAGATAATAAATATATATTAAATAGATAATAAATATTAGTAATATAATATATTTATATATAAGTAGATAATAAATATATAACTATATAAGTAGATATAATAATAATTATATAAGTAATATATATATATATATATATATATATATATATATATATATATATATATATATATATATATATGTAGAGATAATTGGAGAAGATGAAGATGGAGATGAATGAAGATTTCAGAGATTGAG